TTGTCTACTTCCTCACAGCCTGCTGGTTCACACCAGCAGGTACCATTTTGGGGGTCCCTAAAATAAGGACTACAGTATTTTGGGCTCTATATTGGGGTCCCCTTATTTTGGGAAACTACCATCTCCCCCCCGGTCCTATCATAAAACACGTTTCCCCACGTGCGCCTGGGCCTGAGAAGAGCTCCGAAGCTGACCCCCTGCAGCCAGGCCTCGACTGTTGGGCTTCTTCAAAACAAGGACTTACTGGCTCTTAGTAGGGAATAAGGGAAGATAATCCCAATATAAAACCCCTATATGCTAAATTCCCATATTCCCTACTGAGAACCAGTAAGGTGAGGGTTTGGATGTTAGAGCTTGGGGTTGGGGTCTTCGGCCTTTAGGGCTTGAGGTTTAGGGTTGCGGGCTTGGGGTTGGGGCTTCAGGATGCAGAGCTTAGGGTTCAGGAGTTATGGTTTAGGGTTTGGGCGTGGGGGCAAAGGAACATCATACGAGATCCGCCCTGGCGTGGGGATAATTTTGAGAAACCCCTACTGGAGGACCCATGAAGTATTGTGAAGTCTTTAGCGGCTTTGGCAGGGTGGTTAGATGCTCCATGGTTCTTTCCAACTCTAATACACTGGCTTCTTGGAATCTGTAAAGTCGCAGTTTGTCTGGCCATAATCCAAGTAAGATACAGGTCACTTTGAAGAAAATGGACCCTCCTTGTTTCTAGACACACCGCTAACACGTGCGACTCAAACCCCGGGCAGAAAGCCAGAAAAGCCTCGCCCTGAGCCAAAACAACGATGGAAACAGAACAGCCTCTCGGTGTACAAGCAGTTCTTAAGCCTAGCCGGAAACGAAGAACAGAAGCTGCCTATAGTGCCTGCCAGGGCCAGCAGCGCTCGGAGGAACAGACGAGCGCGCATAGGGGAGCCCTGGGCAAGAAAAAGAGTATTAGTCATCATGATACTCGAGATACAGACAAAACACAGAGCAGACTGAAGAGCCTTCTTCTAGAACAATGCCAGAGGGAACTACTACTCCAATCTCGAAATGGAAATTTGCAAGAACAGCAGCTATAGAAATAGCCGCAGTAGGAGTACTTCCTGGCAATGACTCCGACGCAACAACAAGCAGAAGCAGCGGCACCAGAACAGCAACATTAAGTCAAGGTCAAGCTTGAGGGAGGAGCATTGAGTGTGAAAATCAAGACAAAGGGGTTGAGGAGTCAGGTGTTGGTGGTCCCATAGGCATGTCTCCTCTGAGGTTAGCTTTGCGTTTGGGCGCTACGCCTGATTTGCTGTTTTTAGATGGAATTCTGCATGGCAGCGATAGTACGTTCCAGCAACATCTGGCCACGCATCTCCACTGCAACTTGGCAGCAAACAACTACGGCAGGTTCGATCTCAGTTAGGTAGAACGCAGAAGCTCGAGCCAAACGCGGCAGGATTTCAGGGTGTTACGTTGATGATAGATCTTTCACAACCACTCACTTGCACTGGGAAGGGTTGGAAGACCTAGCTCAGGGTAGAGCACAAGCCTGTCTTCACTGATAGACACACACACACACACTGCTCTCCTTGTAGAGGTGCCAGATCTCGCAATAAAGCCTTAGGATACATAGTCCCTTGTGATTCTCAAACAAAAGCTCTCCATTAGGAACACGTATAAACAACAAAATAACAAACGCACCTAAGCTGAGAAGCCCTAAATCTAGCTCTTGCTAGGAGACACGCTGTCCTTCAGCCTCCGCCAGGATGGAACCTCTCACAGAACAGCGTGCCGACATGGAGCCATACACATGATCTGTTTTTGAAGATCGAGTCATGCTTGATCTGCAACAACGACTTTCGTCGTGAGCTGATATGTAAGGGTTATAAAGGATTAGTTTTAAGAGTTGACTCTGGATCGCAAAGGGGTCGAAGAGGATGGATGACTGACAGGCGACCAACATCAGCAGCCAGGATGCTGTCCACGTCTTCTGCTTGTTGTTGACGATGCTGCCATCAATCTTCGTAGAAAATGCGAGCTCGCATGTCAATCTCACCTGTCACAGGAAATCCCCTCTCTCCCGCTCTATGGACAATGCAGGGATCTGCACTACCTCGCACTTGCCGCCAGCCTGTTGCTGAACCGTCCGCACCTGAATGAAGACGTCACTGCGTATGCAAAAAGCTCTGGCAGACCAGCACATCCCTCAATTGCAAACATGACATACTGCAAAACAACACAATGCAACTCTGGAATGTACAACCTATCCCACGGACCAACGTTATCCCTTCAGTGGATGAGCCGTACAATTAGAGAAGAAGCGAGCCAGTAACAATTGCTCACTGCTGGTTGCACTTGGGAATAAGTCGTGGCCAGGCAGGGCCAAAAGGGGATCTCTGAGGCAGAAACTCTCCGCTCGAAGGATGCCACGATCCTGGGCGTAGCCCTATAGATCCCCCGCAAAGGGGTCACTACTTGAGGCTTCAAGTTTGGAACGGGAAGGACTCCGTCGGCGACCTGATTGAGTTGGCCTTGGAAATAGATGCTGCGCACATAAATACTAGTGGTATTACTATTACAAGGCATATTACTTTCTTGATACTTGCCAATATTACCGTTATTGATATTATTACTAAGATTGCTGTTGTTACTAGTGTTGCTATTAATGCCGTTATTGCTATGTTTACTATTTTTATTGTTGCATTAGTATTTTCACTATGTCTGATTAATATTCCCTATTATGCTTCCTACTATTACGATTAGCAAAACTAATTCCTATTATTGCTATGATTTCGATCAGTACTACTAGTCATCATTGGTCTAGCGGTGTACCTCGCCCCCCGCGTTTTTTCTGTCGCCAGAGCCCGCATACAGTATCAATAGGGCTGCTTTTGTACCCGTGTTGAGAGAAGAGAGATCTCCCTTCCAAAGAACATAGGCTTGATTCTACACAGAGCCTTATACATAGCTGCATTATGTAAAATGAAGAACATCAAAAACAAGTGTGTGCAAATCAAAGCATATTATTATTGTCACTATCATGAGCGGTTCTTACACTCTCACCTTGAAGGAACTGCGGGGATGGCTTCTAACAACTGCGGACATGGGCATTTTGGGTCCTTAGGTCAAAAGCGTGTCACTCTTTGCCAGGAACTCTACTTAGCTTCTTCATCTTATAGGATTTCTTAAACTTCCCTTCACGCCTTTTCTGCGCAGGCTACTGCCAGGGGGCCCCGGTCTCTGTTGCGGCCAGACTATAGGGTTCGGTTTTTTAGGGTTGTGGGCAACACCTTCCAGAAGTCGCCCTCCAAACCCCCAGATGATGTCACGGCGCTTCTCTCAAAGTCAACTACCCCAAAAAGCGCAGTGACAGAATGAAAACGCAATGACAGCGACAGTGGACATGAAGACAAATCTAGGATTCATACAAGCCATTCTCAAATTGTAAATCCCCTCTCCAGCCATTTGCAACAGAGCACCAGATTCTTCGATTACGAGCAGGCTGCTCTAGCTGTAGAAGCTGCTCAGAATCTTGTTGCATGTCGGGATATAGAAAGCTGTATAACGAACTTCGAGGTTTTGCAGCAAGGTCGAGTGCCCTTGCAATTTAGTTTTTTCAGCCGAGCGGCACAGAGCGAGGCGAGCCGAGCAAAGGGCTCCACGGAGTCCTGGCACAAGCATTCAGGAAGTATGAGTCAGAGAAGAGAGTAGACATCAACGAAAGACCTAACGAAAGACTTCTGGTGAGACTTACGAGACTTTCATTGGCTGCTGGATGTTGCTGGCTGTCTGTAGTTGCGATTTTACCTAATAGTGAGCCGCCTCGCCTTTTCCTGTACGTCCTCCTGTGGTGCACGCAGAAGTAAACGTAGACATCACGAATCGCCACTGGCTTCACAAAATCAAATGCCCCCTCTGCGATTTCATTGTGGAGCCTGTTGGTTTCCAAGTACAGAAGGATGGCACAGCTTGCTTGAACAGAAACTCTGCGCCTCACTCCCCAAACCAACTCCAATGCACCTTTAACTCGAAAAAACTGCTTGTGTGGGTCTCTCAAAGACTCAAAGACATCCCTTGAAACAGGAACTCCTTTCAAAAAAAAATACGTCTCTCGGAGGCGAACCTTGGCGGCCTCCCTGACTATGGAGAAGGCCGACAAATTCGGAATGTTTGCACTCAGCTTGTCTGACCTTAGTGGCTTTGTTGTTTAGCGCTCAGGGTTCTGGGATATTCAGGGCTTCGGGCTTCCCATTGAATTCATTCCACAGGAGTCGAATCCAGGGAAGCCTGCCTGGTTCCTCCACAAATTAGAAGAAAAACGGCCATGCACCCCAATAGACTCTACAGAGTTCCCAGACTGCCCCTCTTGTTTTCCATGATACTGCATGACATCTCAGGAAGAGGCAAGGCCAAGCTATCAGGATATGCTGCCAGCTTCACCAGGACTTCATCCGCGGTAAGGACATGAAAGCGCCTTGGAGGTTCGGCTTTAAGCGGTAGTAGGGATCTGGGTCTTCCGGCTCCTAAAGGAGAAAGCCAACTTTCTGGCCGCAGCTGTGTCTTCACTTGCCGCCCAAACCAAACCGCGTGCTGAATTGTGAGGAGATGAAGCCCGGGCGCTTCAGAATCCGAACCAGTGCTGCATCGATGATCGGCGCCCTGGCATCGCGGGAAGGACTTGATGACTCCTTCAGGGAAGCACGCAGTACTTGAAATTTGCTGACGAAAGTAGCAATACAGTATTGGGAAGTAATTGGAAGAGGAACAGAAAGAATGTAATGTTGCCCGCTGGTAATCAACAAGCATGGCAGGCATAATTGTGGAGATCACCAGCCTGCTTTGGCCCATCAGGGGAGAAGGTTGGGACACTTGTGAGGTCCAACTGCGCCAGTTCGCAGCCACACCTCGCCCGAATCCAGCCCTCCACCTCCTCGAGGGGTCCCTCCCTGAGCTCTGTGAGCTGCGAGAGCACTTGAAGCCAGGGCTCTAGCTTCGCGTCTGACCAGGCGAGCGCCGCCTCTTCGAAGTCCCGACGCTGGACCCCTCGGCCTTGTTGGCCTGTGCCGTCCACCGCAAGCAGGAGGTGTGCTTGAAGCTCCGTCGTGGTCAGCATGGTTTGCCCAAATGAGTGCCTCCAAAGGATTCGCGCTGCACCCCAGGAACACCAGGACAGCTTCCTATGAGGAAACTTGGCTAGGTACTTCTCTGCCCATTGCGATCGCAGGTTGAGAATGGGAACGGACGCAGCGAAGAAGTGCGGGGGGGATGAAGACAGCGATGGCAAGAGCTCAGAGATCACGGTAAAGCCCAAGCTAGAGACAGCCACTGTGCTGACTGTAGATGCCCGAAAATCCTGGATGTCGCTCTGGTTTGAGCTGCTTTCTCGCACGATCTCTGCAACATGTCGCAAAATGGCATGCCCATGGCCGCATTCATGCCGGAAGAACTCCAGCAAGCGCTGCTCCAGGAGAACCTCTTGGTGACAAGCAAACGTAAAGTCAGGACCCAACTTCAATTCTGGCAGCCCAACCTCAGCATCTTGAAGACAGAAGCCTCTGAGGGCACGAAGTGCCATCAGCCGCGCTTGCCACACTAGTGGAGCTCCACCTCACGTTCAACTACACGAACTAGTCGTACATTGCAGGACATCAATGCCTGTATCATTCCAAGCCAAATCTCCGCTGTACCTCAACCTCAACCTGACAGTGGGGCCTTTCACATGACTGTCGATGCAATTTGGAACCCAAGGTTAAAGCATGTTGGAAAAGAATTGTCAACGCGAAAAAAAGGCGCGCCTGCATCCGGCAAGAGCCGGAACACCAGCAGAAGAGGCCCGATCTTTCCAGGCCAGCCTTCAGCGAGGCCTTCTTTTTCAGTGCCTGCATTGGCGCCTCACGGGTTGACGGAGGCGGCAACACACAGAGGCAACAGCAAAGGAAGTGTTTTTCAGGCTTGCCTGGAAAGAACGCCTGAATCACCTCCCCATGCACTGCCCTTGCGATGGACTCAGCAATATCTGCGAGGTCTGCAGTGGATGAGCGCGCGGGAAGTGAAAGATGCAAAGCATTGGATGACATCCCAAGAACGGTTTCCCAGGGCGGCGGTTCAGGTGGCACTTTGTCTTTCAGTGAAGGGGCAAGAGCCACAGCAAGTGCAGCAGCGAGAGCTCCGGCCGTCACCTCCGGCAGCAAGACCTTTGCCGCCTCGTGCGCGAAGAGCATCAGCGAGGTGAGAGAAGACACTGTCTCTGAGGCAGCACAGAGCAGTGCGCAGGCTTTCACCAAAGCTTCTTGCAGCCATGCCAGAGCCTCGGCATCCTCCGAGACCTCCGCTGCTCTGCGCAACCTCTGCATGCTCTCCAGTTCTGGCAGAGCCTCAGCGCTGTCTTCCCTTGGCGAAATCAACGCTGCCAGGATCCAAGGCAGCAACGGAAGGCTGCACTTCAGCCAAGTTGTTGCACAAGAGGAGGCTAGCTTCGAGTTTTGCGGGCAGCACTGGTCAATGGCTGCTTCAACCTCCACACACCAAGAAAGCCTGGACACCCACACTTTGGCCGGAGCTCCACACGCCAAACCACGCAACGTGTCGGTGCAGCTTCGATGATATGCCGCAAGGGAATTTTGCTGGAAATCATGGAAGCGCGCAGTCAGTGCACATCTCTGTAGCATCTGCCAGGTCAACTGCTGCTGGCCAATGGGACAGGCGTCTGGGTCGGTGCGGAAGCGAGCCAGTCGAGACAGGTGAGTATTCACCACAACTTCCAAGACATCATCGCGAGCTGAGAGAACTTGTGCTGCTGCTGCTCGCAACGTGTCAGATAAAACCTCGCCACCCCAGTCTTCCCAGGCAGTAAGGTCTGAAAGTGCTAGCACCGCGGCATCAAGGGTGGCCCAGGCATCTGGAAGCTCCGCGGCCTCCGCCTATCACGCATACCAGGCAGACCCCTTCATGCCGGACTACAGACCACCTTTAACTTTTTGTACTGCTGTTGCAAAACAAATACTGTTGCTAAACCATTTTGAGATGGCTGTTCCTCCCGCAGTCGCTGCAGCAGCGGCCGGATCGCCACGGCAACAGCACCTCGCTCACGTGGAAGTGATGATGCCTGAGGGACTGAAAACAGAAAAGGTATGCACATCATCAGCTACCAAGATCAAAAGCATCTTCTTGAGATTCAGGACAGGGTGCGACATTATCGAAGGAGATGAGATGCAGCTCCCCGCCTGAGAATGTCAACGTCCTACGTACTGCTTCATCCAGAGGCTTTCATGAATAGATGCCTCAAAAAATGGTCCTTCCTTGAGTGGCTCCATGAAGGATCCCATCATTTTCAAGGTCCTAATTTTGCGACATACCACCCAGACTCCTTGGATGCAACAACCGAATCCTCCCAGGGGTTTGGGACCCTGAGCTGCTGGCGGAAGATCTCGGAGAGGCAGCCGGCCAGCGAGCGCCGCTCGGCAACCATGGGTACCATGGGGAAACCATTGCGCTTTTAGGGTCATGGGATTTGACAAGGTTTCAGGCTTCTTGAACAGAAACTACTTCAGGCACGGGTCGCCCATGAATTGGCAAAGCTAATAAGACTCCAATTCTGCAGAGCAAAGGAAGGGGATTCTTCAGCCTTGAGGTTGGAAATTAATGCGCCCGTGAATCTATTCAAACCACACGTGATTGCGATGGCGATGACTGTCTCGCAGGTGTAGAGCTCAAGCTAGCCGGCGGGCCGCAGCAACGATCCATGTTTGTTACTGCCACTGCCATGAGTACGGCGATGACAGATAGGACAAGGAGAAGGTGGAAGAAGGGAGCAAAAGGAGCGCAGGAGCAGCGCTAGCTGTTGCTGCAGAAGCAGAGGCAGTAGCAATAGTCGGAGTCGTAATATTCGTAATCGTAGTTGTAGTCATCGTCGTCGCGGTCTTCATGGTCGTCCTGGTCATCGTCATAGTCATGTAGTCATTGTGGTGGCCGCGGTGGTGGTCGTGTCGTGGAAATCGTGGAAATCGTGGAAGTGGCGGTGGTGCTGGTGGTGGGCAGCGGCAGTGGTGGCGGTGGTGGCGGTGGTGGCGGTGGTGGGGGCGGCGGCGGTGGTGGGGGGGCGGCAGGGGCGGCGGCGGCGGGGACAGCGGCGGCTGGTGGTAGAAGATTACAGTCACTACCTCTGCTGCTACAACTCGTCCTGCTGCTGCTACTGCTACCAGTAGCACTGGTACTAGCATCAGTCCTGATACTAGAAATGTTTCAAGAACAACAAGTCATGGTGGTGTTGGCTGCTCCCCGCCGCCGCCGCTGCTGCTGCTGCTGCTACTACTACTACTATTATTACTACTACTACTACTACTACTACTACTAGGCGCACCCCCCCTACCAACTATGTTGGTTGATATTTCCACTACCAGTGGGGGGAGGGGGGAGGGGGGGGAG